TCACACCCCAATCTCAAATCCAAATTTATTAAAACATGAGACCTTCTTTAATTTACTTCCTCTTTCTTTCTTTTTACATTTTTTTTTGTGTGTTGATAACTCACTTTGTATTATCTTGTCCTGGAAGCGTCCACTTGCGCAATGGAAGCAACTGCGTGCTTGGAGGGCAGGGTTTATAGCTTGTGGAGTATGATGGTTGCTGTGAAATCTGGCTAGTGCCTTCTGCTGTTCACGTTGCCTTTGGGGCAGAGAAGCCTGTAAGAGCTCCGCAAACCCGGTGCTAAAATGACAAAGACCTAGGAGTAGGGATCTGGTTAGACCCCTTCAAAGAAGCTGAATTGCACGAGAGTTTCTTGATCAGGAAATGATTGGCCGTTCTGTGGGTCGTCGCCATCTCCTCATGTACCAACACTCGGTTCTGGTGTCTGGACAGGTCCCCGTGGAGCGCTTTCACTCTGAAGTGTGGTCCGTGGGATTTTGCTGTTCTGCCCCACACACAAGCACAACATTTCACCCGTCTGATTACGCAGACCTTGGGCATGGGTGTTGGTTTCAACATTTGAACGATACGCAGCTACCTCTAATACCACAGCAGAGCTTTTTGCTGGTTTGTTGTCTGTTTATAATGCTAACTGTGGACTTCAATGTTGAATGTTTTTACATGCTTCTCCATCCTGTGATCTGCTTCCTCCTTCTCCTAGAAGTCCAGTTCCTCTACTACCACCAATGAGAAGATTACCAAATTGTACGAGCTGGGTGGTGAACCAGAAAGGAAGCTTTGGGTAGACCGTTACCTAGCCTTCACCGAAGAGAAAGCAATGGGAATGACCAATCTCCCAGCTGTGGGCAGGAAACCCCTAGACCTTTACCGGCTCTACATCTCCGTAAAGGAGATTGGAGGACTGACTCAGGTGAGCAGCCAGAAGCCAACGAGATGTGACGCAGGCTAAATAATTGTCTATTTCTGCATAGCAGCCTCAGTTTCTCAATGGCAAGTTACAGGCAACAGGATTCAGGCTTGAATTGATTCTTTACGTTAGGGCTGATATTTTTTTTTATTTTCTAATAGTATTTCTAAGAGCCAGCTTGCTTAAACCAGCTGAGGCAAACTTTCAGTGCTCCAAGAGAGTTGCCTGTCTTCAGTCTTGCCAGCCAGGGAGCTGCACCAAGTACAGAGAGCAGCTCTGGCACCTCCCAGACTTTTTTATCAGCATCGTTGCATCTGGGCCTTGTGGCTGCTTTTTGTGTGCTGCTTGGTGGTGGCTGCCCCTGGAGCGATGGGTTAATGGATGAAGGGATGGGTTAATGTTTTTAATCCGCGGTTTCAGTCCAGCTGTGGCTGTTAATGCTCGCTGCTGCTTTTGTTTACCTGGTACATGCTGGGGGGAAAATCTAACTCTGATTCTGGAGGGTATTCTGAACTGGAAAACGACTTGGATTTAGGCTTCAATCCTGTTGTTTGGTCGTGCAGGTCAACAAAAACAAGAAATGGCGGGAGTTAGCCACCAATCTCAATGTGGGCACGTCTAGCAGTGCAGCCAGTTCTTTGAAGAAGCAGTATATCCAGTGTCTCTATGCCTTTGAGTGCAAGATTGAGCGAGGCGAAGACCCTCCTCCAGACATCTTTGCAGCTGCTGATTCAAAGAAGTCCCAGACTAAGATACAACCTCCATCTCCAGGTGAGTGTAAAGACCAGCTGTAGGACTGTTGTCACTTGAGCACATCTATTAATGCCCAGCAGACAGGGCCTTATGTGCCATGCAGTCAGCTGGATCCAGACTTTATTGCAAGTCCCTTGGGTCTGCTGCACAGCAGAAGGTCTGTGACAGGTAGATGCATTCAAAATGGAGGCCTTTATCCAGCTACATCTGCCAGTAAATAGTAGTGAGTAAAGCATGTGTTGTGTGGCACATGCAATTATTCTGTGCTGCCATTAACTCCTGAATTTTCTGCATATATTAACACTGACAGTGTATCAGTGTGTTAGGGAAGGTGTGGAGACAAGGGAGCCTGGAGTTGGCTTTTCAGGGTGATCTCCATGTCTTCTTGCAGCAACATTGGTGACTGCTGAGCTTTGGGAACCTTGCAGAAAAGTAGTGCGTTTACATCCACACAAATGGTCCCTTCGTGGTAGTGAATGCTTGAGGGAGCTGTGCAGTTGCCTGCCATGTTGGCTACCTTCTCATGGCTGGCTGCAAGCGTTAAGGACATTCTTAGCTCTGCTTGCACTTTTTTTTTCTTTTTCCTTTTCTCTATCAAGTTTATTGAAGCTAGTTGGTGGGGTTTGAGTTTCAGACCTGCTCTGAGGTAAGTTTTAGCGCTGATGGATCAAGTATTCTCTGTTCTGTTGTGCCTAGTTTAGCTTTCTGGAGAGTCTCTCAGTTCCTGGATGTCATGTCTGATCAAGACGATAAGAAACAGGAGACAAAGGCTGGGCTAAAGCAGTGCATGCTTTATTCTCTCATTTCCCTGCAGTCTGATACCCTCTATACTTTTTGTATTAGGTAGGGCCATTCCCTGGTTTGTTGTGGAATGCGTTGGCTTTTTATGCCACAGCTTGTTTGCCTTCAGGTCCTAGTAATGGTGAAGACCTGAAAGGCCAGGTCCTTGGGTACATCTGTTTAGGATCCCATTGACATGCAGAGGCAAAACAGCTTTGTTTGCTTTGAAAGGCTTCACCATAGAGAAGCTTCCACCTTTGGTTTTGGGAGGGGCATTTTTGTCTAGCTCCAAAGTGTTGGAATAAGCCCTGTTGTCCTACAACTCCAGGCCTGCATTTGTCATCAGGGACCTCCTTTGTTCTGATGGCTTCCAATGCCAGGTGAGGCAGGTGGGTGTCTCCCACTTCCCAGCAGAGCTGAGCCTTTAGGCTCTACAAGTCCTCTTCCCTTCTTGATCAGACGTGCAGGTTCTTCAGTGATCCATCCACCCCAGCACAGCTCCCCGCTGGCTGGAAGTTGCACCGGGGCTGCAACCAGGGAGCGGGGAGGGCAGGAAGAAACGGCAGCGGTGTGGGCGCAGCTGGAAGCTTCCCAGCCCCAGCACAGCTCCTTATTGTCCAGCTCTGCGGGCCAGCTGTTGCCAACCTCTGCCACATGGAAATGCTTCTGATGTGGGGGATGTAACAACAGAGTCGCTGTTCTGGGGGCTGCCAAGGCACAGTGGTGTGTCTAGGATGTGCTTGGAGCCCCCCTGGATGCTACCAGGTCAGGTGAAATGCTGGGAGTTGCTCAATATTCTTCACACTGTTTTGTGAGTCTTCAGAGGCTGTTTCTTTCCCCATCCTCTTTCACCCATGGGGCTTTCCTTTAAGTATGGGTAGTTGGAGGACAGTGAGGCCAGCAGATAACCTTGCTTCTTTAATCCCCATTCTTGCCCTTCTCCAAAAGGCAAGGGTGTGGTTACTACTGTTGTCTTAAGCTCCTCTGTTTGAAGAAGCCTTTTTTTTTTTTTTT